CCAGAAAGCCATGGAGAAAACAATTATTTGGTGTATTCCAAGGATCTCAGCCACAAGAGAAGGGACCATTGTAAAAGCACAGTAATCCCACTCAGATGGGACAGCAGACTACTGTAAATATAAGGTATTGAGAGAGATCTAGGGAAGTCCTTCTCAGCATCTTCAACTTCAAAAAGCAAAGGCTTTTGCCAGTGGAGCTACCAGAAAGCCATGGAGAAAACAATTATTTGGTGTATTCCAAGGATCTCAGCCACAAGAGAAGGGACCATTGTAAAAGCACAGTAATCCCACTCAGATGGGACAGCAGACTACTGTAAATATAAGGTATTGAGAGAGATCTAGGGAAGTCCTTCTCAGCATCTTCAACTTCAAAAAGCAAAGGCTTTTGCCAGTGGAGCTAGAGAAGCTATCTGTTAGCTGAGCAAGTAGAGGAAGACTGGTTATCTCTGATCAATTCTGCCACACTGTCAGAAGGTATCAGTGACTCACTCCTTCCCATCCCCATCAGTAAAAAACAGCATCTGAACAAGATAAAGCACGTGATAAGAAAGAAATTCCTGTTGGAAGGAGACTCACATTGCCAGTAAGGGTGAAGAATCACCCATGGAAACTTTTCAACTCAGCTGAATAGCTGTGGTTTCTGTTATGAACTTTATTAATGCAATGATGCTAAGGGCCTGTGTCACCCTGCAGCTACCCCCTCATTCTAACCTGGGCTAATTATAAAATAAAAGTAGAAAAACAACTCTTTCACTCATGTATTTTTATCCTCCTCCCCCCACAACTGCCTCTCACACCCATGCCTGCAATACAACCTGCCTGTTGGATTCCTTGAATAAGGTAATTTCAGAATAAGTGCAATCAGAGATTCAGATGCCTGAAAATCTCTAGTGTGAAACCCTGGTCTCCAGTAAAAGCAGTGTGGGTGTTGCCATTGACTTCAGTATGGCCTGGATGTCACCCACAGTCTCTGGAGGCCCTAGGTTCACCTCTATATTGATAGGACTGAGATGTTTATTGGGGGCCATTTGTAAGTCCTGTTGCAGCCTCCTTCCCTTTATTGATGCACATGTCAGCTGCCATGAGAACTTTTCACTGACCACTTCACACTCCCCCCAGATGCAAACTTTTAGATCTGCTCTGCTCTGATAGTCTAGGCAACAGGGAGAAAATCTGCAAAATTTGCCCCAACTTGGTTTGAACATTAAATTCCAATTGGCATGAATGGTAAGAATGGAGGAAGAGGACCACGAGTTTTTCATTACCACCACAGCCAAGACAAAAGCTTGACACCATGAAGCTGCCATATAAATGTAACTGTCCATGTCCTACAAATCTCTACCATATCCCCCCACCTGCTGCAACCCTGCTCAACATAGAGGACTGCCAGACAATAGCTTGGGCTCTGGTTTTCAGAGCACCCAATGGTAAGAATGGAGGAAGAGGACCACGAGTTTTTCATTACCACCACAGCCAAGACAAAAGCTTGACACCATGAAGCTGCCATATAAATGTAACTGTCCATGTCCTACAAATCTCTACCATATCCCCCCACCTGCTGCAACCCTGCTCAACATAGAGGACTGCCAGACAATAGCTTGGGCTCTGGTTTTCAGAGCACCCAAGGGTCAACTCTCTGAAAATCAGGACTTCCATATGTCGCAGAAGAACACCATTTCTATAACAACTCCACTACTCTTTCTGTCCCTTAGCAGAGAAGATGCTGACCCTTGGCCATTGGAGAACTAGCCATTCTTACTGCCATAGCAGGTGCTAAAAAGAGAAATTAGAATAGGTGCCCACCATGCATTGCAGTTCAATCTCTTTTGAGGCACACAAAGTAAATAATAGTAATAAACTATGATGGGGAAATCAATCAGTACAAAGCAAGCACTGTCCACGCCGTATTCCTGCCTTCTCTATCTCCTGTTAGTGCTTTGATTAATGAGCAGCAGTCTGATAATGAGGGGAGTAGCTCAGCACCAGAGCGTAGAGAAGCAGCCGTGCTACAGTGCCAGAGTTCAAACTAACCAGCATGGGGTTGGCTTTAGAAAAAGGCTCATTTATTTCAGGCTTCTAGAGAGAAAAAGCCCATTAGCACAGGAGGGCAGGCACATGGGGGGCCAGAGCTCACCGGGAGTGATGCAGGTGGGAACTGCTGGTGTGCAGCGATACCTTAATATTTAGAGGGATGTTCTGATCCCCTTCTTCCTCCTAAATAGAACTGTGCCCCACCTCAGACCCATGGAGGGATGCAAGTATAGGAATCAGAATTTGGGCTTTCTGACTGTATTTAATCATAAATGTACATTGGTGTGAAGATGTCCGGGCAGAGACTCAGCTTAGTTCCTTCTGGACTATGTTTAAGACCAGCTTGAATGTCGTGGAAATCAACGGTGTTCTGTCCACTCACACCAGGAATGAATTGGGCTCTTTTCTTCTCTCCCTTTCCTCTTATTTTGCTTAACCGTGAATTATTCTTCGTTTTTTTCAATGACTTGGCTTCATTTTCTTCCTTTCTCTACATTCTGGTCTTCTCCATATACAAGGCGGGGACTCAGCCCTTGTATATTTTGGCCTTCTTTGTGCATGGTGCTGGGACTTGGCGCTTTTTGAGCGCCATGCCAGGAACTGCCATTGGCCCTTTCTGAAAGCTGCCCCCGGATGGGAACCCTGTGAGATCTGGCTCGACATGAACTCTGAGGGGACTTAAGTGCACTTCTGTTTGCATTTCCTCACTGTTTTGCTAGTGCTGTAATAAATGAAATTGCTGCGGGCTGTGCTGGCAGTTCCTTTTTGTTTCTCCAGACCATTTGTTGGGGAAATGAACAGACCTGTAGAGCACTTCTCTCCTGAGAGCCAAGAGAGCAGCGAGCTTCAGTGAGGTACGTTTAAGAGGAATATTTATGCCGAATTTAGCAGAGAGTGGAAGGAACGTTCTCTCCAGGGGATCATAGGTACCTGCCCCTTCCCATCAAGAAATGCATCCAGAGTCTACTTGTCAGCCCTGCAGCTAATGACAAGAGAAGCTTATAGGAGACAGGACAGGACAGACACCATTCTTGTCCTAGATTTCAGTCTGAATTCTTCCACTCTCTTGTTCTGCATTTTCCTTTCTCTCCACCTTTCCCTGAAGCTGCTTATCAAGGTGCAGATTGAAATAGCAACATCGTGTGATGCAGGACACCCCTGACCAAAGGGAACAGGTTCTGGTGCACAAAAGGGGAAACTAACTCTTCTGCTCATTAGTCTGGGGCCCGACCCTGTGATGAACTGTGTAGGCTGAACTAACCCACACATCCTTCCTGATAACCCCCAACCTGTTGCCTGCTATTTACATACGAGCTGATTCTGAAGCTGCAGTTTCTTTGATAGCAAGCTTGTCCTTTCTTGTTATTCCTCCCCAGGCCCGATCTGCAGCCTAGGATTTTCTATATGAAAACACCACCTCTCCATCTCTCATGATGTCTGCAGTTTGGAATAAAATCAATACTGCTGTTTGTTACTAAATTGACAAACGGCTTTTGATGCTAATATCTGATGAAACAGCCGGACTGGTATAGATATTTACACTCACACAGTTTTTCTATCACCCACCATCTGTTTTTAAAGGGTCTTTTTTTCTCTCCCAGTGACTAATGGCGCGTTTAACCCCGGAGAATCTGCTTGTGATCTCAACATCAGAGGGTTGCTGCAGCAGAGGAACAGAAAGAGATGGCGGGGGAGGGAGGGTGAGTGTGTGAAACAGGACTCATGTAGGAGCTTCCTGTTGTTCTAAACTTTGCTCACTGGTAGGGTTTTCAAATCATACTAGACTCTTAGAACACTAGCACTGGAAGGGACCTTGAGAGGTCATCCCCTGTCCCAGTCCCCTGTCCTCATGGCAGGACCAAGCACCATCTAGATCATCTCTGATAGATGCTTAGCTAGCCTGCTCCTAAATATCTGCAGTGATGGAGATTCCACAACCCCCCCTAGGCACTTTATTTCAGTGTTTAACCACCCTGACAGTTAGGAAGTTTTTCCTAATGTCCAATCTAAACCTCTCTTGCTGCAATTTAAGCCTACTGTTTCTTGTCCTATCCTCAGAGGTCAAGGAGAACAATTTTTCTCCCTCTTTCTTGTAACAACCTTTTAGGTACTTGAAAACTGTCATTATGTCCCTTCTCAGTCTTCTCTCTTCCAGACTAAACAAACACAGTTCTTTCAGCCTTCCCTCATCGGTCATGTCTTCTAGATTCTCTCTGGACCCTCTCCAGTTTCTCCACATCTTTCTTGAAATGTGGTGCCCAGATCTAGACACAGTATTCCAATGGGAGCCTAATCAGTACAGCGTAGAGCGGAAGAATGACTTCTTGGCTGTGTCTAGACTGGCCAGTTTTTCCAGAAAATCAGCCGCTTTTCCGGAAAAACTTGCCAGCTGGCTACACTGGCTGCTTGAATTTCCGCAAAAGCACTGACTTCCTACTGTAAGAAATCAGTGCTTTTTGCGGAAATACTATGCTGCTCCCGTTCGGGCAAAAGTCGCTTTTGCGCAAAACTTTTGCACAAAAGGGCCAGTGTAGACAGCTCAGATTTGTTTTGCGCAAAAAAGCCCCGATCGCGAAAATGGCGATCGGGGCTTTTTTGCGCAAAAGCGCATCTAGATTGGCCACGGATGCTTTTCCGCAAAAAGTGCTTTTGCGGAAAAGCGTCCGGGCCAATCTAGATGAGCTTTTCCGAAAATGCTTTTAATGGAAAACTTTTCCCTTAAAAGCATTTCTGGAAAATCATGCCAGTCTAGACGTAGCCCTTGTGTCTTGCTTACCACCATGGGTGGTGGGTGAAGGTAGGGCTTGGGGAGCCATGACTCCCAGCCCTGCCCCTTCTCCCCAGGCCCTGTCCCCTCTGCATCACAGGGAGATGGGGCAGTGCAGGGCCCCAGCACCCCCAAACACCCTGGGGAGACAGGAGGGTGTGTGGCCCCAGCCTCTCTGGCCCTGGAGCATTGGGGAGGGAGGAGGGCATGTGGTCACAAGCTCCCCAGATCCAAGGGTGAGTGGCGTACAGCCCCAGCCTCCCTGGCCCCAGAGCACTGGGAAGGGTAGGCAGCATACGACCCCAGCCTGGAACACTGGGAAGGGTAGGAACTGGGGGCAGCAACATTCTGCCTCCAGTATGCCTAGAGTAGGTGTTCAGGGGGCGGAGTGTGGGTGGACCCATGCCTGGCAGTTTGAGAAGGCAATGCCCTCTCCTGCCTAGCATGCCCACTGCCCCTGCTCACAACACTCCTGTTAATGCATCCCAGAATAGTGTTTGCTTTTTTTGCAACAATGTCATATTGTTGGCTCATATTTAGCTTGTGGTCCACTAGGCCCCCTAGATCCCTTTCTGCCGTACTCCTTCCTAGACAGTCACTTCCCATTTGAAGTGTGAACCAGTGTGAAACTGATTGTTCCATCCTAAGTGGAGTACTTTGCATTTGTCCTTATTAAACTTCATCCCATTTATCTCAGACATTTCTCCAGATCATTTTGAATTTTGACCCTATCCTCCAAAGCACTTAGGGTATGTCTACACTACCCCGCTAGTTCGAACTAGCGGGGTAGTGTAGACATACCCTATGTCCTGAACCTGGAGGTAATGTTTGCAGATTGAGTCTTAAGCAACTGAGTGCTCAGCTGTGAGCTGGCTTGGAGTCTATTCCTTAAAGAAAATGGTGTATTTTAGCATGAAGAGACAGCACGGTTCTTCTTAGCATAGTCTAACACTCCTATTCCCACACTGGGAATGACCTTTAACACTCCAATATAAATCAAAACAGGTTGATTTTGTAACTTCAAAACATCAGGATGTTGGTGAGGACATATCTCCTCTCCACGTTCATAAGTCCTGCTATTTTGCCAACTTAGCCTAAAAAGCCATGCTTGAATAGTGAAATGTAAGGCTGGGATTCAAAGAGTTTTGCTCTTAGTGGGACTCTTACCCTTTCAGTTGCACACAGACTAAGCTCCCATTTAGGAAGGGAATCTGCAGCAGCCCTTGGAATTTGGTATCATCTGCAAGCCTTAATAAGCTTTAATAGAAACCTTATCTGACAGGGCAGTCAACACTCAAATGCTAGACAGCAGTATTACAACTGGCCTGTGTCTGAGCCTGGGGCCTATTTCAATGTGTCAATCTATATAACTATGCAACTCAGCATTGTTCTGGGCTAGGGCATGAGTCTAGGGGTCATGAGATCTGGGCTCTATTCTTCATTCTGCCACTGTCCTGTTATTTGATCTTGGGCAAAACCCATCACTTCTCTGTACCTGTGTTTTCCCCATCTGTACAATGCAGAGAGCAATGCCTTCGTTTATAAAGCATTTGGAGTTCTATGAAAGGAAATCTTAAGAGCCAACTGTTTACTGTTCCTCTTGCAGGCTCTGGCTGGGTGCCTGAGGCCAGAAGAGATTTCCCTAGAAAGAGTCCAGGGACAGTTCCTGAGAGCAGAGGAAAAGTATCACATGGAAAGTCAAGGATGATCCCTGAAGGTGAATAATATGTTTGCAGAGTCTGAACGCTCTCTCCAGAAGCATAAGAAAACTCTGCAGTCTGTGCAAGATTTGATGAGCAGCAGCATTGCAGAATTAGATTATCTGTACAGGACAGGAACAGGCACTGGTTCCACCAGGTGTTGTGTTGGAGCTGTAGAGTTCTTCCAATGGAACAACTTCTATACTCTGTTAACATGTGGCTAAATGGCCATTTTAGCAGCAACAGCAAAATAACCAGATTGATTTAACTTGTTGCAAAAATCAAATTGAGATTCAGGTCTCCCCAGCTGAAGGACTGTTGCATTGACCCACAGTAGATTTCCCTACCTACCTTCTCATCTTGTGTGGATACAGCTAATAAAACCAGTTCTCTTTTGGGATTATTGTTGATTACCCCTCCCCCATTTTAATCATTTGGTGCCACAGATCACAGCATAGGACAGCTCTGTAATGAAGGACCCTACGACAATACAAAGGCATTGCATTTATGAATGGGCTGGCTCTCAAGAACTCTAACAACTGGATAAGGCACGTGGAGTGAGGAAAACAAAAGAACTTGTAAGAAAAGAGCCAAACATTTAATGGCTGTCTGTTTTCTTGTACATTTTAATGTTATCCAGCGGGGAGTACAACAACAACAGTGCTACATTAAAATAGAAATTGCAGTGCTACACCTTGTCTTACAGTCCCTAGAACAAGACTGTTTGGATGTGCATGTAACTCACACTTTGTTTTACAGGGGGATTAAATGTCTGGAGCAGAGCCATTAGGGTAAATCTTCACTGAATAGAAATTGCAAGTGATCTGAGTTCCAAGGATGTTATTTCTCAGAACTGCAAGTCCCTTCTCCCACTCAAAAGGGGGCATAGAAATTGAACCAGCCACAAATGCAATCAGAAGGTCCCACAGAATTAAATCCTAGTGCTTTAGCTCATTCAGCATTAAACACAGAGGCAAAATACTAGATTGCCACTGTTGCAGGAGCCCTAAACCCCGGCTGTGCCTTGCCTATCCGGAGTCACAGGGCAGGATTAAGGGCGGGGAGGCTAGCTGGGCAGCTGCTAGGGGCACCAACCTATGGGGGGCGCCTGATTGAAGTGGTAAAGGGTGCCGCATCAGGTGCCCCCCATAGGTTGCAGCCTGGGGGCAGGGCCGCAGCTCCCTGTACATGTCAATCAGGTGCCGCATGCCTGGGGCGCAAGAATAACTCAGGCCAGCCCTACGGAGTCATGAGATGGAGTAATTACTGCTGCTCAAAAGCCCCAATTTTACATAGACAGCTATTTGGCATGTCATAATCCTTCTGGGAGCACTAAGTTTACATAACAATTCTGAATCCCACAGCACTGAATTCAGTCTACATGGACAGAGCATTCTGATTTTAGCACCTTGTCACTGCTAGAGTCCCCACCACCCTCAGGTTATGAAAATGGTTCAGCATAAATTAACATAAAAATATATAAGTGATATACTGACATTTCTATGATACCTGCAGAGGTGTGTCTAAACTACATGGCTCCATCGATGGAGCCATGTAGATTAGGCTGATTGGCAAAGGGAAATGAAGCCGCGATTTAAATAATCGCAGCTTCATTTCAATTGAAATGAAGCCGCGATTATTTAAATCGCAGCTTCCTTTCCCTTTGCCGAACAAACAAATCTACATGGCTCCGTCAACGGAGCCATGTAGTTTAGACGTACCCCAGTTGACGTACCCCAGTTGCCTAAACTTTATAGGGGGGAGTGGAATCTGCTTTATGCATGCTCTCCCTCCCTTACAAATTGTGCTATCTCTGCTGTCTGCCATTACAAAACAATTGACAGGTTAGTCTCCAGCCAGCATGCTGCTACAAAAGAAAATCAAATAGTGTGTAATAAAGTTTGCATGAAATTCGTACATGCAACAATTCCCCACTGGGCTGACCTCTATGATACTGACTTATATAATGCAACATAATTTAACAGCTGGGCAAAGCAGAATGGAAAGTTGTATTTAGTTTGCTTTTATTATCTTGAATATAGCACCACATCTGATGACTGCAAACCATTATTATATCATATTATCTTGAATTCAGCACCACCATCTGATGATAGTAAACCATTATAACCATATTTCTCATATGTTACATTAAAGTTATATATAAATAACCTTTAATACCCCACCCTGACTTATTGGTACCTTACCAAAAATATAGTAAATGACTGTGTGTGTCCTTTTGTGACATGCACATCTTGCTTTGCTAGAGCTGTGTGGGAACCAGATTTTTTTTGGTGGGGGAAATTCCATGATTTTTGAGATATGTTTTTCTTCAAAATTGGATGAAAACCACAGAATTTAAAAATTTCCTGTCTAATTAAAGATTTGAAAATGTTTTGTTTTGGTTCAACTGAAACATTTCATTTCGATTTCAACTTTAAAAAATGAACATAAATATTTCATATCCAAAAATCAAAACATTCCAAACTGAAAATGTCAGAATGGAATGTTTCAACATTACCAAAAGGCTTCATTTTGATTTAATGAATATTACTCAAATTTATCTTCCTTCTGTGGAATGTTTTGATTGTCATGAAATGGCACTTTCTGGTGGAAAAGCATACCATTGGAATTTAAAACCAACTCTTCTTATTGCAATAACTTAAAGGGAAAGAAATAGATTTTCAAACAGTTCATTTAAAAAAAGATTTTTATTTCCTTGTTCTGTAAGTGTTCTTAGTGAATAAATAGCTCATCAAGTGACAAGGCAATTACCTCGGATGTTGGAAAACTCATCTGTTCAATTTAAGATTTGAAAAAAGTTAAGACTTTTTTTCCAGCCTCCAATTGCAAACCTTTAGCAACTTGTATTTTAAGAATTTTATGTAAACTTTGCTTGCTTACTATATTCCTGTACAGATCAGATGAATCTCCAGTAGAGATGGGTCTGAGCCAATCCACAGATTCAAATCACGGATTCCAATTTGAATGCGGTGTTGCAGCTTGAATGTCTCTGCCTGGTTGATATGATTTGATTGTATAATGGCAGTATCTAGGAGTCCCGATATTGGTTCAGGACCAACCCGTCCCATAGTGCTAGGGGCCATACAAATGCAGAACAATGAGACATTGCTTGAGCTAAAAAGCTAATACTCTGAAATTTGGGAAAGCATGGATTTTAATCTGGATTTCAAACCTCCACACATAGGAGAGTCCAGACTGAGATTCTGCTTTGGACCCATCTTTATTCTACAATCAATTTAACTAATTTCCATTTAGCTGTCTGATAGGTAATTTGCTCAGTTATTGCTTCTTATCCCTTCTAATAACTGTTGCCTGCTCTCCAAAGATTGGCTGTACCCGAAAGAATGTTTGGATGATTGAGGGAGGATGGGTTGGTAATTTACACAAATAAGAACTAGATCACTGTTTCTTAAACTGTGTTCCGTGGCACACCGGTGTGCCGTGAGGCAGTCAGAGGTATGCCGGGGAGAACAACAGAATTCAAAATGGCCACCCTTAAAGGGGCAGGCGACTTTTTTTCTCAATAACATCCTCCTGACCCTTTTTTTTCTTAATAACTTTCCCCCCAACTTTTTTTTTTGCTCAACAAAAAAATCCTTGGTGTTCCCCATAAAAAAAATTGTTTGGTGTTCCTCGGTCTTAAAAAGTTTAAGAAAAACTGAACTAGATGAATCAAAGACATGGAACTGAGTCCCAGCTCCAGATGTGGATCTCAAAACTGCCTCTAGAGTAGGCAGAATCCAAACCCAGATGCTGAACACGCACAAATTTGAAAAAAAATTAATTCACATTTCAGTCCTGCATGTTTGCATTTGGGCAGATACCGGAGGTTAGTTTGCTCCATTGGTGATCCTTGGATCAGGTCCAGATGTCAGAGGGTGTACATTGTGATGGATAGTGCCACTATCTTCTGTGATGCTATGACAACCTACAACAGCTGCGGATCTGTCCCCTGAATTCAAATTGGGGAATCAGATGGAAAATAAAGCTTCTAGCCCATCTAGAGTAATTCAGCATGGAAAAATGGATGAGGATTATATATACTAGATGGGTTGCCAGTCACCTGTGTGGAGGGACTGGGTGTAGTAGAAGTGGGTGCTGCTGCGCCTGTTCAGCTAGGGATGACTCCACTAGTTCACACCAGCAGACACTAACATTACAAATGGCCTTGGAAATCACAGTGGGTGCATTAAAGTGCCAGTATCTCTTCCATGGAGTCACTCATTTTACAAAAAGAATTACCTCTGTCGTCTCATCCAGCCTCAGTCTCTATTCCCACCTTCTCATAGGCTCTGCATAAAGACACGGAGGCTACATCTAGACTACAAGCCTCTTTTGAAAGAGAGCGTCTAGACTACAAGCAGATTTTTTCGAAAAAGCGAGTTGCTTTTTTGAAAGAGTCTAGACGCTCTCTTTTGAAAAAGCACAGTTTGCATTCAATACTGCCTTTTTTCAAAAGAGTACTTTCGAAAAAAGGCGTTATTCCTCATAGAATGAGGTTTACCGTGATCGAAAAAACGGCCGCATTCTTTCGATTTACTTTCGAAAGAACGTGGCTGCAGTGTAGATGCAGGTGCAGTTTTTTCAAAAAAAGGCTACTTTAAAAAAAAAAAAAAAACCTGTAGTCTAGACACACCCTAAGACTTGTGGTCTCAGGACATTACAGAAATACCTGGAAAATGCCACTCTGACTTTTAGCCCTCCTCAATGCCTTCAGCTCTTGTAAGTTACAGATGACCTCTAAATAATCATGCAATGTGCTGAGTACACCAGTTGGCAATGTTCTCTCTTACCTTTCACATCCATTTGCAGACTTTTTCTATCCAGGTGTGGAATAAATTGTATGTACACAGAGGCATGTGCAGATGTGCACCACCAAAGGAAACAAAACCTAGCTGTGGGCGCTCTGCTAATCAGTTGGGCAGCATCTGAATCTCTCTTGAGCAACTGCACAAGTGCACAGCTTACAGGGAACACTGCCATTTGGTTGTTACTCCCTGCCACTGAATGGTTGGATGCCATTGCATATGCATACTATAATCTGTAAAACAATGTGGGCTTACAAACTACAGTCTTTTAGTGAATATACCCTGCACCCGAATATACCCCACGTTTTTTGCAGTTTGAGTAAAAAAAATCTTGTCTACCCCGTGCACGAGTATTACCTGCGGGGTATACAAGACTTTTTTTCAAACTGTGCGGGAGGGGGAGGACTTCTACGCGGGGAGGAGAGGGGGGAATTAGCCACCCTCCAGACAGGGGAGCACTCACCCCTCCTGGTTCCCGCGCAGCTGCACAACCTCTGGGTGGGGGAGCACTCACCCCGCTTAGTTCCGTGCGGCCGCACAACCTTCCTGCAGCTGCGCAGCTGCCAGCCTCCGGGTGGAGGAGCGCTCATCCCTCTGTTCCTGCGAAGGAGCGCTCCCTCTGCCCCTTCCTGCGACTGTGCAAGAACCGGGAAATGAGCGCTCTCCCCACCCCTGCCTGCAGCTGCGCAGCCTCTAGCCTCTGGGCGGGGGGAGCGCTCATCTCCCGGTTCCTGCGCAGTCGCAGGAGGGGGCAGGGGGAGCGCTCCTGCACAGGAACTGGGAGATGAGCGCTCCCCCGCCCGGAGGCTGTGCAGCGGGGGAAAGGGTGGGGAAGCGCTCACCACCATGTGAGTAAAAAATTTTTTGTATACCCCGCAGAGGGGGCGAGGGGTTTGTAAAAACGAGTATAACCTATGGGTTATATTCGCTAAAATACAGTACTCGTAGTGGCATAATCTTTCTACTCCCGTACATTGCAGAAGAGGGCAGAATCCTAGCGAGAGAACGGGACAAATCACTAACTATTCACAGAGAAATACTTGCTGTGAGCAGCCTTTAAACATTAATGCTGCAATGGCTGCAGTAGCAGGGTACAAGATGGAAAATGGGCAATGATTTCTATAAGCTAACATAATTAAAAAATAAAGTACACCACCACACATGTAGGCACAGGCTGGCAAGCTGACCAGGACAAAAAAAGTACATCACCGCAGAGAGGCACCCAGCACACATGAACATCAGAGACACCTCGCAAGGAAAAGGCAGTCACTCATCTAGCAACTGTGACAATGTCAGACATTTTGCTTAGGCTCTGTGTGCCTTTTGATTACCAGCTGCTGCCTGCTGGCCTGAAGCACTGAAACCAGAGGACTTTGGATAAGCACAGGAGCAATGACAACTTTTAGCATTGATTCCATCTGAAAAGGGAGGAGATTGGAGATACATGGATGACTCAAGGGAAAAGGGATATGCAGCCAAAGGTCATTGTTTCATTCATTCCAGGTCAGAAGTGGTACATGTCATTATTATTGTCAGGCTGCTGTGAAAATTAATGTGGTGATTTCAATCCAATGCCTGTATACAGGTGTAACATTTTCAAAACCACCTAAGTAACAAAGGAGTTTTCGTCCCACTGACTGTCATAGGAAGGCCGTACTTCTGAAAATGGGGGCCTACATTCCTAAGTAATTTGGACACTTTTGAAAATTTTGCCCCAGCTGTCTGTAGCCGAGTATGATACTCATTAGCAATCATGGCAGAGGCCAAGGACTCAATGGCTCAAAAAACCTGAACTTCCCCTAGACAGAGAAAAAACTTCCCCAGAATCCTCTAAAAATAGGCCCTCTTATTCAGAGCAGTGTGTTGGCAGGTGGCAGTGCTGGGGAAGCATATGGGTTTCCGGGGTAAATGCAGATACCATCCTCCTCCCAGCACTAAAATTCATCTTCTTCTTTCTTGCCACTTCCTTATTGGGGGTTGAAGACCTTCATAGCCTTCTTCCAAAACTCATGATTGTATGCCAGGCTGTCATTCTGATTGGTCTCTGTGAGGTCTACAGACATTTGATTTATGGACCAAGTCTTTCATCTCCTACTTTGTATTCTTCTTTCTACAGTCATTGTAAGAGCCATCTCACCAATATAGCTCTCAGTTCTCCTCTGGATGTGCCCATAACAACATATTGTAACTTCCCTCAACTGGTCTCCTGTTGGGGTAACCCAAATTGGGCCCCTTACCACCTCATTATATTTCCTATCACAGAGCATCCAACTGTTTGACCATCTCCACATCTTCATTTCCATGGCAGAGGGTGGACTTGATTTCCTTTCTTATGGCTGGCCAAGTCTCTGTTCTGTTTGTTAAGAGGGGTTTTACATACTCTACCTTTTAACAATATTGGCATCTTTTTGTCACCGGCAGCTGGAGTCAACGCCCATCCTACACACCAAGCGGCTTTAGTACTAAAATATGCTATTGAAATGAATGACTGAAATAATAGAACTAGTAAAATAACAGTGACAGGGATAAACTAACTGAAGTGTGGGCAGATTTGGAAAGGTTTGATTTGCCATTGGGGAGCTGGGAGTTTGCTTTGTTCAGGATGCCATGACTAGGCCGGCTGCTGCAAATTGCTAAACAGAACTGAGGTTTCAAAATGAAGGGAAAATTGTCATTTTCATTAATGCCAGGAACAATGATTATTTTCTTTTCTTCGTGACTGCACAAACATGCATGCATAGGGCTGCGTAGCTGTCAAGATGATCATCAGCAGTGTTTCTGTTGCTACTGAGCACCCGGCAACTTCTTTGATGGAACAAATTCAGTTTCTCACTTTGAACTGGGCATGGGGCACTCCTTAGGTACCGTGTCCTTCAGCCTGTCCCTCATCCTTTATCTGCCTAAAGATCTCACTGCTCTGGTCACACCAGGAGATTAAATGAGGTCCACCTTTATACATAATAAATTACCTCAAGCGCCTTCTCAAAATCTTTCTCCTTCTCATGTGTTAAACAGCTGTCTTCTCTGAACGGATGCTAGGGGATGAGGTGCTCTTGTAGCAGCGTTCCGATCCCTGTCCTAACTACCTAGCCTCTGTGACGCTCACTGTTAAACACACAGCTCTGATTCCATTCCACACATACATTCTGCCAGCAGCAAAAGTCCCCAGCCAGCAAAGATGAAACAGGAGCGCCGGACTGCATCAGAGACTTCTGAGAGTCCCAGCTCCATTTCACTGTCCTTCCATTGCCACTGAGCTCCATTTTATCTGCTGCTTTTTTTTTTATAGCTGATCTTCGTCTACCCAGATGGTTTTACGCTGCTCTTCTCCAATCTTCTCCTTCATTATTCGGATGAGATCCTCAATACTGCTCCACATGTCTGCCTCCAGGGAGGCATAAAGGCATGGTAGAGCCTCCAGTTCTTTCTCCTTCTGGCGACATGTGCGTAGAAACTCCTCCTCAGTGTCGGGCTTCGGCAACAGCTTCCTGCATCACATGACCAAGACGACAATAAGCAAAATAGCTTTAGGTTTAAAGTGAGTCCCTACAGTCTCTGCCTTGCCCAGCAAGAGCTGATGTAAAGGAGGGTGTAGGCGAGCTAGAACATCTTAGCTACTCCAGTTATGTCCTCTCCCACCAACAGTGACACGGGGAACAATGAAGGAGTGCTGGGTTCTAGGGAGATCATCACTACTTCAGACTAGGGATCTGAATGGATAACTAGTTACCTAGTAAACATCATCCTTAATGGGTGATGTTTAGCAGATAATGGTTAACCATTACCCGGGAGCAGCCATCTGTCCATGGCCCACCGCAGGTGGAATGCTGCTCCAGCCCCGTAGGGCTGCTGGCTCTCAGGGGGCCAGAAGCGGCAGTTGGCGGAGGTGGGTGTCCAGAGACCTGGCAGCCCCCTGCCTTTTCCGTTGTCTTTTCTGCCGCGTGTGAGGCTACCGACAGCTCTGTGTGGGGTCGGAAGCAGCTGGGTTGGAGCAGCCCCCATTCAATCAGTTAACTGGTTAAGCTTAAGGTTTAACCAGTTAACTAATTGAATGGGATTTTATATGTCTACCTCAGACCCAGTCTTTCCCAGCAAGAATCTCTGTAGGGAATACCACAGAAGTGCTAGATATGGGGGAGTATGCAGACACTCTAGGGCAAGGGTGGGCAATAATTTTTGCCTGGGGGCCACCCCAGAAGGGGCGGGGTTACCCCATCCCCAGACCATGATTGGTCTGGGGGTGGGGGAGCCCCTTGCCCCCCCCTTCTCACTAGGCATCCATGTCCTGAAAGAGGCTTGGCACGCTCCCCCACCCCCAGGCCAATCTGGGCCTGGGGGTGGGGAAGCGCGGGACACCTTCTCCCGCCCTGTGTGCCACGGGCTACTTGCAGAGCTGGGGCAGGGAAAAGGAAGCTTCACGCAGCTCCCCCGCCCCCAGGCCCTGATTGGCCTGGACATGGGGGGAGTGCGCAAAGCCTCCTTCGCTCTCCCCTTCCCAGAGAGCAGTGCATGGTGCTTCAAAGTGCCATGTGCTCCTGGCAGGGCGGGAGGAGGCTTTGCGTGCTCCCTCGCCCCCAGCTAATTAAGGCCTGGGGGCAGGGGAACAGCAGGGCCTCCGTGGGCTGGATCCACCCGCTTGGCAGTCTGGATCTGGCCCACGGAGGCCCTTTTGCCCACCCCTGCTCTAGGGCCATCCTCCTGCAACGAACATTGCTGTCAGGAACGGTAATAGAGTGCTGGATTTGGGGCAACTCATAACTATGCCAGTGGTCATATTTCTAGGAGGAGGGGGATGAGTCATGGGAGGAATTGTGCCATCCTAATGCACTAGATTAGTGAGAAGAAGCTCTTCCTCTTTCTCGCTCAATGAGAAAGTCACTGGACTATGGTGTTATTAAGCGACAAACACAGAATAGCAGATGTTCAAAGATTTGATATGTTACCTGAACCTCTTGATGTTTTTCTCTGAGACTCTGATAAAGAGAATAATGGGATATATCTTGGCTTTGATTAAATCCTTTGTGCAGCTTATGCCAGCTTCCAGCAGACAATGCTTATTCTAAAAACATAAAGTCATAATAGGGTCATGAGAGAACATCCACAGCACTAATCTCTTGTGATAGACAGACAGACATATCTCAACAGGGTCTGCTGAATTGCTCTCCATTCATCAGACTGGATGTAAAACCTTTAAATCAACTGTACATTTCAGGTCCGAGCTCCTTTCATGGATTCACAACTAGTCAATCGGACAAAAACTAATTTTAACATTCCTTATAAGTGCTCTCTTTTTGCAAAGATTTAAAAATAAGTGATTTGCTCTAAAGACAACAAACAAGTTAAACACTATAAAATAAAAAATGAAGTCATGCATACATTATATATCTACACACACAGGTATGGTCTTTGTTCACAGTGAATATATACTGTAATCACTTCGAAAAAACAACAAACTACCCACTTTAATTCTTTTTTTCCTCACCGTGAGACAAATGCACAATATTTGAAGCTCTTTTTTGGTCTTTGAGACTATCAACTTTATATGGCATATCATTGTCTCTCTCTGGCTACGTCTAAACTACAAGCCTCTTTAGAAAGACAGTGTCTAGACTACAAGCAGATTTTTTGAAAAAGCAAACCACTTTTTCAAAAGACAGTCTAGACGCTCTCTTTTGAAAAAGTACAGTTTGCATTCAATAGCACCTTTTTTTGAAAGAGTACTTTCGAAAAAAGGCGTTATTCCTCGTAAAATGAAGTTTACACAATCGAAAAAACTGCTGCGTTCTTTCGATTTACTTTCGAAAGAACGCAGCTGCAGTCTAGACACAGGGGAAGTTTTCTGGAAAAGGCTACTTTTTTTGAAAAAACCCTGTAGTTTAGACACACCCTCTGTGTCCCAGTCTATCATTTTCCTTGGCTAGGTCCCTGTCTCTTTCTTTTGCATTCACACGCACAAAACAAAAAAGGGGACTGACTAAGGAAGAGAGGCTAGGAAATGAGAATGGGATGAGAAAGAAGTTATTCTGAAAATATAAGCTCTTCTTGTGGCAGTAAACTGACTGTCCAAGGTATGAAAAGCAACCCACGCTGCTACATTCCACTCCCATCACCTTGGCAGTGACGGCTTCAATATTGGCAGGTACAATGCATTCGTAGGTGTTTGGATTCTTCTCCCTGGAAAAGATGACCTTCTCTGTCCTTTGCTTCCTTAGGAACTCTTCCTTGGTTACAATATCTGGAGCAGGAGGGGGATGAAAGCAAGGTTATTAGGTTCACACAATAGCTGCACCTAGTAAACTGTTCAGTAGGAATTTGGACAAGCCTTTGATGGTATAGTGAAATAAGACCAAGAGTCTTCTTGAGAGCGTCTCTCATTTTTATTTTGAAATAAGACCAAGAGTCTTCTTGAGAGCGTCTCTCATTTTATTTGTTTAATTGAACTGAAGCCTGACCTAAACTTGGCTCAGTATCTCAAACTGGCCTATACCAGGGGGTTTCTGAGCAATCTCTGCCTCACAATCAAGGCCCTGAATGACAACAATATGATGCAGTAAAAACTATACCAACACCTAACATCAAAGAGCAACTATACTCCACAGTGCCAAATCACAAGGCTGGTATATTACACAATAGCATTTTATGCCATAATATGTTACTATATTTTTGGTATTGCCATGGGGCCAAGGGATCCTTATAGGACTAAACTTCGGACAACCAAATAACAGAAAGATGGGTCAGTCCTGCAAGGAGAACCAGCTCTGGTTCTCATTCTAACAAACACGGCAAGCCAAACTCTACAGCACAGTACAGAGCATGGGAATCAGAAAATCAATCTGATTAGCAATAGACCAATTTCACTGTCCAAGGTGCGTGAAATGCAGAATAGCAAACAAACCATACAAATGGCAAAGAGTAAATTAGACTCTTAAAATTACTGTATTTATATCAGTCTAAGCTGTTCATAATCACACAGATCAGAGTACTGGGATTTCAGAACACATGGTTTTTAACCTAAGGGTTAAAACGCCTCTATTCATGAGGTCGTTGTGATGATCTGAGGTATCTGTTTGTATAATTTATTATTTTTATGTAGGATTATGAATTCTTTGTCTGTAACTTGATCAAGCTGCAAGTTATCATCTCTGTAACCTATTTACCTCCATGTTGGACTGAAATTTGCAAGAGTACTGAGAAGTGACAACAGTGGCTTGTTAACTCAGATGGTCTTCTATTAAACTATAAACATCCTAGACAACTGATTGGTTCTCAACCAGGAAAATTGGTTTGTTGTGGAAAGATCACTTGGCAACAAAGTCACCTGATAAGGGTCTTTGATCATCACAATAGGCTGATCGATGGGTCACCTGACTGAAGTACTGAAAGGCCATGAAAGGGCTCGCAGGAGAGGGAAAGGAGATGAACTGGCCAACCAAAGTTGTACAACAGAAGGATGCTGGAGGGCCTTCAAGGACTTTGACCCCAGCCCAAAGAATGCACCAGAATGGTGGAGACACTAAGGCAGGGCAATGCACATAGAGTGTGTTAGCTTTGTATAGGGCTGCATGTTATGCTATTAAGAAAGAGCAATAAAGTGCTAAAATCTGGTGTGAAGTGCATATGTGCTACCACTTGCCCCATGCCCCCTAGAGAAACCCAGAAGCCTCAAACCATTAGGTGGCATTCTCAAAGAGGGTGTGTTTAAGCTACGATGGGAGCCCGAGGGTACGTTTTGATTGGCTGCCACTGAGTTGTTATAACTCAAGTTGTTGCATCCCCACTATATTACAGAAGCACTTGAGCTTCAACCCGGGCCCCCACCACCTAGTTCAACCGTACAGCACCAATTAATTCAAGCTAGAGATTTGCATGTGTGGATGGGAACTGAAGTAGGGGTCACAGTCAAGTTGTCACCTGAGATGACTGTGCTGTGAAGACACATGCTGAGGGGCCAGTACGGGTTCCACACAGGCCTGCTGACTAGGGGTATAAAGGGTTAACAGATTAACTGGTTACCCTGTAAGCATCAGCCTTACTGGCATGCGTACCGGGTAACTGGTTAATCGGCAGCTCGGCCCAGCTGGAGCAGTTCCCTGCCTGCAGTGAGGCATGGCAGGCCCTGCCTGGCCAGTGCAACCCCCCAGTCAACGGGGTGGGGGGCTTGGCTCATGGGCTGGCCTCCTCCCAGATGGAGCAGCCCGTGAGCTATGGGCTGCTCCATTCTGGCTGGGCCCACCATGGCATGGGTGGGGGGGCTGCTCCAAGATTAACCAGTTAAACACAGCATTTAACCAGTTAACTTTTTAACTGGGAATTTACATCCTTACTGCCAATGTGGGGAAGGGGTGGACCAAAGATCCCTCTGCAGCACACCCCAGGAAGTGCTGAGGGCTGCTGATGGGGGTGGGGGAGCTAATCCCTAGCCTAGCCTCTTCTGCCCAGCACCCACCCCTTCCAGGGGCACAGAGATGCCCCTCTCCCCTTGCCCAGGGACCCAGTGAGTCTGTTGTCCCCACTGGTCCTAGGGACTGAGCTATGCAGTCTAAGCTCTTGGGAGGGGGTCCAGATTATGATTTCTACTTTGAAGGTGTGTTAGAGGTATAACTCTATTCTGTTCATAGTTCACAGACTTAAAACACAATGGATTCAGCATCTGTATCCTCACAGCTGTCTGGTGAGTGGAACAGAAGGGGCGCTTGACTGGAATGGGGACAATAGCATCCCAGTGCAATCACAGTACAGGGTATGGTTTTGAATGGCAAACAGTTAACAAGGAAGCGTGTCATCCAGAAGCCCAGTCTTTGGAGAAGATCAAGTGCAAGATCTTCATGCCCTGGACTGGAAAGAAACCAGTCATTGATTGGAAGGAAGATATTCATCAATCATTATAGCAATGGTCCAAATATCCCATCACCTTGAATTAAATATATTAGTACTGACAAAGAGCATTCACAACATGCCAGTCCCTGGAGTGTGACATGGCAACTATAGAACATAGACCATACAACCTTCAGAAACCAAGCATCATCAGGACCATTTAGGGTGGCGAGCTCAGATGGTTCTTACCAACTGTCCCATTGCAGGATCCAACGTTACGCTTTGCTGAGACATAGCAGCAGGATTCCCAAGCGGCGGGCACTTGTGTGCCAACAGTAGAAAGGCTTGCTACATTTAGCACATTCTGCAAATTTTTACACAGTTACCTGGCTTGCACATGTTGAATTCCAAGGCGCCTCCAGAATTGAGAAGTTTCTGTACCAAGGTCTTTGCAAGCACAGTGGGAGTGAAGAGGACCGGGCGCCTGCGGTCACAGTGGATCGGTCGCACCAAACTATAGGGGATCAGGTTGAGGCTCTTATCGATTTCATTTTCAGAATCCAAATCTGAGTAAAGAAGAGACTGTTTACAATCTAGTTCATTCTTCCCCAGAAGGATGTAGAAGAATCACAGACATCAAAGAAGGGAATCACATGTTTGTTCCCCCTGTCCATACCTCCACCTGGACAGTATTGTCCCCTACAGAATATTCTTCAGTGCAATGTTCAGTCTAGTTTTAAATGATTCAAACAATAGGCCTTCCCATCATTTCCCTTGGGAGGCTATTTCACAGCTAAATAGACGACTTGCTTAGATATTTTTCCTGGTTATCAGCTTAACTTTTCCTTTGCTAAGCAGCAATTCGCTACTTGTAGTTACACCTCCTTGGAGGAAGAATAGGAGAGAATCTAGGAAAAGTTGTCAACAAGATAGAACATTTCAGTCCAGTGGACTTGTTTTCAAGGGCTATCTTCCCCCAGCCTTTAAAAAAAAAATCCAAGAATTGAGTCACATGCAGAAGAACTTAAAAATTAGAGGTGGAAAAGGCCTAGGACCTGTTCACTGCCTTGCACTTGTGCAGTCATTTAACCTGTGTCAAGTGATGCAAAATGCTGTTATATCCTTACCTTCCAGCTTATCAGGTATCAGCTTCATTGCTTCAGAAGAGGTCCGTGCCAAACTGGATGGAGAGCCGGTGACAATGCGGACTCGCTCACTGCTGTTCATACGTTTGTATTTGTTTTCAGACCTGCTAACAAACTGCAAGAGCAAACAAAGAGGTTTGACCCCCATTCATTCTATGGAACTGTATGCTTTATTATTCCACATATTTGTTTGCTTCCATGTCTCCTTCCATTATCTACCAGATCTGAATTACCTCTGTGTCTAGCAAAAACAAGGCTGTAAGTTCACCAACCCTTCCACAGAGCTGCTGGCTGAAATCCAAGGCTATTTTAAACAATGTAGATCTGACCTTTAGCTTTTGTTATTCCCTGGTGGGATTTTTTCCTCTTGTTCTCTCTATATATGAGTCATGTTCTATTTCTTCCTCAAAACCCTCTGGCATCAACAGAGTTACTACGGATAGACTCACTGGGGAGTAGCATGCCCACTATGAATGTGAGCCCAGCAGTATCAAAGACTCTGCTCATTTCTCTACCCTTACCTTATTGCAACACCCAACATTTAGCTTATCAGCACTCAAAACGTTTTCCTATAGCAGAATTTAACACCCAACAAAAGCTTCTTTCATACATCATCCACCCAAATGCTCACTCCTCCACCTGAGCATTCTCTAAACTTCCCAACCATGACCGTAGGGATTTTTGTTAATAATGTGCTCTTTAGTCTAGCAGAGAAAGACATAACACGGTCCAGTGGCTGGAAGCTGACGCTAGATAAATTCAGACTAGAAATAAGGTGCAAATGTTTAAGTGAGAGTAATTAAAGGCTGGAACAATTTACCAAGGGTCAGGATAGATTCTCCATCATTGACAATTTTTAAATCAAGATAGGATTTTTTTTTAAACAAATCTGCTCTAGGAATTGTCTGGGGGAACCTCAGTGGCCTGTTACACAGTTGGTCGCACTAGATAATCCTAACGGTCTCTTCTGACCTTGGAATCTATGAATCAAACCTTTCACCACCCATTCTCCATCCTCTCCATGGTATCTGCCCCTGCAATTAAATAACTATTCACGTCTGGGATTTTACTCTCCTAAGTACCAAGAGAGTTTGTCTGGCCAAGAGAATTTAATGTGCTCCAGATAAGGTCCATTTGAGCCCCTCAGGGCAGGGCAGTTTGAGCTATCCAAATTATATTAATAATGGAGACGAGCCTATTAAAAGCTAAAGGTCCTGCCTGACAGGGACAGTTAGAAAGTGTAAATCAATCTGACTTCTCATATGTTAAAGCTCTCTGTGACAATCATAAGTCCTTGTGCCATGTCTCCAGCATGGGAAGTTAGGCTCAGAATGAATATGATACCTGAGAACATCACAAAAAGTTGTCTGCCTCCAATCTTCATGAAAATCACACACTGATGTTTCATAGAAAGGAATTTTAACTTCATTACCTGTAAAATCTGTCCCAAAAGGAAGCTTGCCCGGGAGAGGCGAGGGCTGGCTTTGGGGTCATTCTGTGAGGCAGGATCCTCTGGCTGCAGTGTATTCTGATAAAAATTGCACAGGAACTTCAGTAAATCACAGCACCCAAAAAACAAAACAGGCCTTCAGCAGCTCTCCAGTTATTTACAGTTAAGGGATAGAGACTTGTTAGCAATTCATACCCTTTAGAAAGCAAAGGCATGTTCTGTGCAAACTACAGACTTAGAATGGCCTGTGCTGACACACTGTGCTCCTGTTACGGCTTCTCTATGAGCCTCTTGTCAAGGAATCTATCTGACTGTGCCTGCATTAGAGATTTGACTAGAGGCCACCTGTGCAGTGACTAGTGCACTGTAGGATGGCAGGCTATTTGCATCCAGTCAGCCTTTGATGCCTGGGATTGCCATCTACCCCAACACTTGATCAGTGGGACTGGGGTACTGGAGGACCATCTGGTGCTTTGCCTTGTTTGAAGTCTAATCCAAATGGTGATTGTAGCATCTCTGTCTTTTAAAAGCATTCTTATGTGTGGTCCCAAAGTGTATTAGAGGAGTGCTAGGTGCACACATGGTGGCTAATACAGGCAGTCCCCGACTTACGCGGATCCGACTTACGTCGGATCCGCACTTACGAACGGAGCTTTCTCACCCCGGAAGTCGGGGCGAGAAAGCCCCGTTCGTAAGCTGCTCCGGTGCCCCTGGTCTTCTGGAGACCGTCTCCAGCAGACCAGGGGCACCGGGCGGGTTCCCGCGCTTCTGAGGCCT